TCCCCCCCTCCAATCAACAACCCCCCCCAACTCAGCTGTCTCCAAAAATATGCTCTGTCTTTGTCTTGAGAAATATATGGAACGCCATATGACCTGTGAAACCCCATGTTCAGTTGTATTCAATTTTCAGTTAGAAATTGTTAACTGGTGCAGGAGATGAAAGTATGCTTTTTCTCTTTTTTTGGGAAAGGCCACCCCCCATTTTTCTTCAAGCCCTACTTTAAGATTCACTTCCATTAAATATTACTTAGAACAGTTTCAGATTGTATCTGCAACCCACAAACCTGAATTTCACCGGTGAAAAAAAAACTGCAAGTAGAAATAAGTGCTCTTGCAAAGAAGTACCAGCAGCCGAGGTCTGAAAATCTAGCCATAAATGACTTGACCAAAGGGATATAGCAAGTTAGCACCCAGGTATGGTCTTCTGGCTGCAAGTCTTGTGCTTTTAAACCCTAAGCAGGACTTGCCTGTTGTGAGATTCTTCACAACTTATCTACCTCTGGCCTGGATGAGAATGAACTGGAACGTGTGAGGTCTGAAACAAGGTAAGAGATAAGCCATGAGATCCGTTACCTTTAGCTTGAATTCCAGTTCTGCCCTGTGGTTACTTTTCTCACAGTCAATGGTAACTTTCCCTCCAAGCTCCATTGTCATGGTACCATATAAAATTCCTGAAAGACAAACCAAAAACCCCACAATGAAGAGAATATGGTATTGGCAGAGGCAATGGGTCAACTCTGGACAACCTTGCTAAACTGCTGTAAAAATCGTGACTTTGCCCAAGATAAAAGGCATTTTTTTCCAGGAAAAAAAAATGGCCCTACAACATAGCCCAAAAACATCCATTCCTTACTCTACCTATCAAAACACAATAAATCTTTCCAGTGGAGTTTAGAGATATTCAAGGAAAGAGGTCACTCAAGGAATGGTGGGTTCACAGAGGATGTGGATAATGGCTGAGGGTCTGAAAGGAGGCAAAAGAGAAGAGTAAATGTCTACAGCAGCAAAGAAAAGGAGAAAGACTTTTGTCCCAGGATTCTACAGACACTCATGCTCATTGTCCCACTTCAAGTACCTGCGAGCTAAGTTTACTGAATAAAACACGTTAACTGTCTCTTCCCCCTCCCCATACACACACCTGTAATTTAATTGCAGCTCATTTAACTTAACTGGGATTTGTTCAAGGACAAGCCTGGCAGGCTGTCTGCTCTCCCTTGCCACCTTCTGGCAGAAAAATACCAAAACAGCTGTATGTGTAAGGGGCTATGCTGCTCCTATTTTCATCCAGGTCAAAAGCTGGGACAAATCAGGACTGCCTCAAATAAGACCCCCGATTACAACCCTTACATTTTCAAACATGCTCAGCAAGCAGTGGTTCCATTTATTTCAGGAGCTGAGGCCTCCTGAATAGTGAATACCTAGTCCAGACGTAAGGATGAATTGGGGAAGAGAAGGGTTTTTATTAAGATATTGTGCATTCTCTTCTAGTAAAGAATACTTTAATGATGGCTGCAACTGTCATGCACATATTTTCTGAAAAGTTCATTTGAAGTGAAAGCAGACTGGTTGAACTTTTAATTGAGCCTAACTTGCAGAAAAGGAACTTTTCCACCCAGGGAAAACTATAACATATTTTTATTCTCCTGTGCATTTTGAATTTTCTTTTCTACCTGGGAAAAGTGTTACAATCTCTGCTTTCTCCCTTGCCCAAGGAAGGGCATGTAAGCCTGAAAGCTCACAATTTTTTTTTTTTTGGCAATGATTTAGTTGGTCTAATAAGAGACATTACCTCTGCCAAAAGTTCTGCATATTTTCAGCTTATAGACCAACACGGTTAAAACCTGCATCCCTGCTACAAAAAGTGTAATTTACACTAGCTAACATTTCCTAAGTGGTCTCCACTCAATATGCCAAAACTATATATTCAACTACTGAAAAAATTGGTTTTATGTACGCAGGCCAAATATCAGCTAATTTTAGAATTCTGAGGACAGATTCCAAGTTTAGTGTTGAATCAGCAGCTCTGCCACTGACTTTAGTGCATATTTGAACCAGGATGATAAAACCAAAATTGGCTCGTACTATTTAAAACCAAGTCAAATAGCAATCTCACTTAAGCTGCTTTTTAAAATATGGTATTATAGTTTCAAGATCCTTTACCTATGCAAATATGGACTAACAGGGAAATTGCAGGAGAAGGTAGGGATATATTTAACTCCTTTATTCTTAAGGCACTAGATAAAGAACTTCTAGTTTAACATTAAGCATTTCAGTTATAAATCATCACAAGCCAGAAATACGTGCTGTAGTTGAGGTGTCCATGAGAGTGGAGTATTACTAGTTCTTCAACATTAGCTATGAGTTTGCAATGAATTTACTTC